GCAGGAAGGTCTGATATTCCTGAAAAGTTACAATTCATTCGCAGTGGTAAAACCTTCGAGTGGCGCTGTCCCCTTACGTCTCACCTCCGCTTCCCTCCATGCTAAAAGCGAGCTGTGCCCCCCAACAGCAGCCCCCTACTTGGGAGCCATGTAAGGGCAGGGCTCTCTGTGGTCCCAGCCAGAGACAGGGCAGTTTCCCTGCAAATACACTGCAGCCTGCCCTGCAGCGGTGCTTCTGCCCCACAGTGAGCTGCCAGGGGAGGAATGACCCAGCAGGTAGGGTCCCAGCTGGCCTCCAGACTAGCTTCTTCAAAAAAGCCCCGGGCTCTGAGCTTCGGGCCCGCAGTTTGCTATATGCAAAGAGCATGGAGAGAATGACTTGAATGTGCAGGTGCTTCCCACAGAGGTGGGCTGGCCAGGCTTTGATCCACAGGCTGTTACAGTCCCTGAGCATCCCCGAGGGAAGGTGCAACTGGAAGGTGGAGTATTCACATAGGGCTACGTGTGCCCAGGGATTGCCACGGGGGAAGAGCTGCAGCAAGCACAGCCCCAGGGCAGTGCTGGAGCGGGAAGGTGCAGCACCAGCATCTCCATCCTCACTTCACCCACGCGGCGGTGACACCCTTCCCCAGCGTGTCTGCGTGGACAAACCCCGCGGGCATGCAGGCAGCTCTGCCCGATAACATGCAGAGACACCCAGGCTCTTCTCCGTCTGGGGTCTGCGGGAGAAGGGCCAACTGTGTGAACCCTCATCTCCCACCAAACAGCAGCACTTTGATTCAAACTATTCCCTATTGATTCTCCATTTGTAGTTACTTGTTAATTCCCTAATCGCGCATCCCTCAGCGCCATTCACCCTCACGATCGTTTGATTTTCTAGCTCTATCACAAAGCAGCGCCTGCATGAGGTGACTGTGTGAACACCAACAGCCATACATCAGCCTCCTGTGGCCTCATGCTTCGCATCTCAGGCAGGCGGTGTAACGGGGGAAAGGGCCGGGCACCGCTGCATCTCAGGGGTTGTGGTCGGTGGGGTCACACTTCAGCATGATTTTGACCCCCTCGCCCCTCTTGGTGGTCTCGAACGCCTCAAGAGCCTTTTCCAGGGGGAAGCGGTGCGTGACCAAGGGCTTGACGTTGATCTGCTTGGATGCGAGCAGAGCAATTGCCACAGGCCACCTGCAAAGGAAACAGGGAGCACGAGATGAGCGCACTCACCAGTCTGGAGCCTCCAGGAAAAAGCACACAGGAGCCTGGTTTCCTCAGCCCATGGGAGACAGGACAAGCCAACTGCTTTGGGCCGTGGAGCACCGAGGAGGCAGGCACTGCCACACACAGACAGCTGGCTGTACTTCAGCCGCAAGAGGCCGTGCAAGTGAAAATCACAGGAAGCAACTGTACCGCTGAAGCAACGAATGAAACTGCTGTGCACCGCTCTCCTCTCGCCTGGCCTCCTTGCTGGCAGACTGATCGCTGTGGAGTTCAAACTCGCCAACTTGGTGCAGGGAGAAGAACGGAAAAGCCACAGTCAGCCTCCAACCTCTTCTCTGGCAGAGACTCACTCGATTTGATTGCCTTGCTGCTCCATTTCAATGGGCCAAATGAGAGCGATGGGGATACAAAGGGATGCAGCAGCTAATCTAATTCCCAAACTGCCTACTGAAAGACATTCCTTGTTTTATAGAAGGAGCTTGACTACACCTCATAAATCCTTCCTGGAAAACCACCTCTACAGACCAAGCAAAGATTCTTGCTCCGCTAGCAAGAAACTACAGCTCTGAACAGAGCAGAAAACAGGCTGCAAACATGCAATGCTGGGTCTCAAGCCCTGCCCAAGGACTAAAAGATCAAAGAGAGGGCAGATGAGCTTCTCCTGCCTTCAGGGCCAGGCCAGATTTCAGTGCACTCAAAGACGTGCCTATCCATGAGACACGCAGTTCAGTTCTCTGTGAGAGCACATACGCCTTGAGACTGGCTCCAGGTCTATCTTCAGCTCCAGCAAAATGACGAAAACTAAACAAGGCTCTCGCTCATCCCAGCGTTCGCTGATCTCCAACAAGACTGATGCTGCGATTTCCTTCCATGACAAGCAAGGAGAGCAGAGCTGGGCACAGCTTGGCCTAGGATGTGGTGCTCGGGATTTTGACTCTTTGCCCAGAATTAAGATTCCCCATATCCTTTGCCTCAAAATGGACAATATAACAGTTAGGAAGGTGGATGCCAGGAGGCAGCCAGCTTTCCCCAAAGCAGTGTGTAGGGTCAGAGCCAGGCCAAGCCGCTGCTTAGAGACCTCCCGGCACAAAGGGTTGAAGCAGCTAAAAGCTGTGTGTTCCTCCTGGCCATGCCATGAAGCCAGCACACTTGTGGACAAGCCAATCTCTTCCGAAACTCCGCCAGCACTCGGCCTTGCCTTTCTACAGGGCATAAGAGTTGAAGGCACAAATGTTAATTATGATTTTTGTTTTTTTTCCATTTTGGCCTGCTTGCTTACAGCAGAGTAAGGGTTTACTGAGTCTCTTCCTTCCTTTGCACGAAATGCTGCCTGAAATGAGACAGTGGGACTACCTAGCTGGGCTGCTTTGTTGTGGTCAAGTCTGTAGGGCAGGGCTCATCCAGAAACTAAGGCATAAAACGCAGGACACATCGCTCAGTCTGCACTGCAGCGCTGGCATTTCAGAGTGACGTAAGGTTTAACCAGCTGCAAGGAAAACCAGCCTTTTCCACATCCTCTCTCCTTGTGGAAAGCACAAATTTCTTAAAGGCAGACTTGGAGACACACCAGCCCACCCTGCACGAGACTCACGTGTTGCAATAGCGGAATATCCCCCGGATATCCACCTCCCGCACGGCGGCGTTCACAAGGGGCACAGTAACCATCTCAGGCCCCAGCCCCACCAGCACCAACGTCCCACCAGAACGAGTGGCCTTGAAAACAAACACACAAATATGTTAGGTTTTTCAAAACACAGTCACCAGAGCCTGTGCAGCAGTCTGTAAAAAAATAAAGCCACACTTTGTAGCTGTAACAGACTGCCCAGGGCATGGTGGAGAAGTCAGGGGAGAGGCAGGATGCCACGAGGAGCCCGTCAGTGTGAAACATGCAATAAACCAGGCTTAAAAAGCAACCTTTTGAAAATCTCTGAAGGATTTTGGTATCTAAATCTCACTCTGAAAAATGCCTGGCACTTAGGA